TTTTGGACAAAAATTTGGAGTACAAAACCAAATGAGGGACTTGTCTATTTATAGGTTCAATGGTGGCTTTTCAGTTTGAATTCAACAGGTAGCAAACCTGTTAGAACAAGTACAAGACCTGTTCGGTTTTGAATGAATAGATACAAGTTTGAATTTTGAACAGATAAAGAACTGTTTGGGTTTGAATTTGTACAAATTCGGATCTGTCTGGATAGATATGGAACTTGTACCGAAATTTTGAAGAGGTGCAAACAAATTTGAATTTTTCCAACCAAAATTTGAAATTAAAACTGGACAGATTTTATTTTACCAAAAAATAAAATTAAATTCAAATGTTTTTGACCCAAAAAGATAAGTATTGCGCTTAACAAGTCCAACTCAACCTCACACCCACGCCCAAGCCCAGCCTAGCCCAGCCCGCCCGCTCGGCCGACCGGATGAACGGCGGCGTAGAACGCGTTACCACTCAGACTCGCCAACTTTGGCGCATGGGTCCCACTTAATTGAATTTGTACAAATTCGGATCTGTCTGGATAGATATGGAACTTGTACCGAAATTTTGAAGAGGTGCAAACAAATTTGAATTTTTCCAACCAAAATTTGAAATTAAAACTGGACAGATTTTATTTTACCAAAAAATAAAATTAAATTCAAATGTTTTTGGCCCAAAAAGATAAGTATTGGGCTTAACAAGTTCAACTCAACCTCACACCCGTGCCCAAGCCCAGCCCAGCCCAGCCCGCCTGCTCGGCCGACCGGATGAACGGCGGCGTAGAACGCATTACCACTCAGACTCGCCAACTTTGGCGCATGGGTCCCACTTAAAAATTAGACCAAAGTTATGGAAAAATCTAATTTTTCCAAAACCATTTCTAACAGTACGTGCACTACGTTTGACCACACTTGTGGATTCAGGCAGTCCCAATCTAGAACTTGACCTTCTACTGCACGTGTGCCATACTCAACTGCACTTGCAGGGCCCAAGCCGTATGTGCGAGACCTTGCCCTGAGCTCTACTTTCATATTGCACCAATTTGTACGTGTGGGACATCCTCGCCGCACTTATGGCTGCACCTGGTGAAGCTCGATTTCTCCCAAGGTAATGCGACACTCCAATTTCTTATCCTTACACTCGAAACTCTAATATTAACTCCACTAGACACCAAGTAGAAATTAATACAGTTCATAATCACCAAAACACAACCCATTACACCATGGGTCCAAAATCGTACCGATACATCTATACACGTGGGTTCAAGTCGAGTTTAAAATCCAAGGCACTACAACCAAATAGTGTGATTGATAGTTGAAATGAATAGTTAAAATTAAATTGATGAAAAAACTCAGTTAACACATCATTTTAAAATGTAAGAAAACAAAAGGTAAAAGTCTGATTAAGAACACACAATTTTTTACTGCATATTCTACCGTCTACTCATAATGAAATTTAAGCGTACACCCAATGAGTAACAGTAGAATATGCAATAGAAAATGGTATGTCCTTTATCTTCCTCTTCATTAATAGGTAGGTTATCTCTAGTTGGGAATGTCAATTACACCATGTTATTAATAATATGAGACGCTTATTTTGTAAGGATCTCCAAGTAAATTATCTATTAAAAAAATTAAATTAATTAAATAATCGTAACCATATGGTAATATCAATTAATATGTTCCCACCATAACCCTAATTCTACCCATTGGGCCCCTACCCCTACAATCTTCATCTAGTAGTCTCTACCTTCACCTTCTAGCCTTCTTCCCTTTCCAGTGAACCTTCCCAACTCTCTACTCCTTCTAATGAACCTCCCTCAACCCTTTTTCCCTACCACTACAAGAAATTACACTTTTGGCGACTACTTTTGGCGACGACGTCAATTTTTCATCGCCAAAAGTATATTTTTGGCGACACAGTGATCAATTTCGTTAGTAAAAGTATACCTTTACCGACGCAATTTGTTGTCGTCGCTAAAAAGGCATAACATTATTTTAGCGCCAAATTTTTTGGTTGGCGCCAAAATTTCAAAACTTTACAGAGACCAATGCAATAAGATAAAGAGGTTACGATTATCAAATCGATCAATTTTTTTCCCCAATGATGTTATACACACAGTGCTCTACAAAATTAATGGTTCAAATCATTGAAACAAGACCCATGATGGCCCCCATGAACGTGGACAACACCTTTCAGTTTAAATTTTGGATTAAGGAGAAGTTGGTTTCAAAAAAGAAACACCATAATCATATAAATATCATACAGACATCATTCGAAAGGATGTGTATCGTATGTAAGTTATGACAATTGTGATGTTGATTACTACAAATGTGATTAATAAATCACTTTTAGTCATAGCTAAAAAAACATAATGAGTTATAATCAAACATCACATAAGATATAATCAAATATATTTTTTTTATCAAAATCAAAATAATAATCACAATAGGTCATAACTAACATCATAATAAGTCATAACTAATAACACAATGAGTCATAATAAAGTCATAACTAATTTTGAAAATTAGAAAAATTGAGTCAATTTTTTTCCATTAAAAGTGAAAATAAATCAAATTCTATATAAGAAAAAGCTTACAAAAATTAAATTATTCTTTTATTTTCTAAACCTTTTAAAAAAATAAAAAAATAAGGGTTAATTGCACAAAAAAATCCTACAGTTTCGCGCCTTTTCATTTTAAACCCCAAATAAAACCCTATCATTTCACCTGTGTTTCAATCTGGCCCCTCTATCCATTTCTGTCATATTAAACTAACAAAAATCTGGGCAGAATTTTAGATTTAAACCCACATGTTCAAGCACTTGTATCTCCCTCGTCGTAATTTCGTTTCGTCTCATTTTTGCGTGGTTGGATTCACCTTACGACCTGGTTTTGATTCCAACTCTCATACGCCTTATTTCACCTCTTTTTGCATGTCGTCAGAGTTTCGAAAGTTGGCTAAAAATAAATTTTTTTACTCTTTGGGCAACATTTTCATATTCAAACTTACATGTTCAAGAACTTGTATCTCTCTCGTCGTAACTTTGTTTTGCTTCATTTTTATGTCGTTGGATTCACCTCATGGCCTAGTTTTCATTCCATTCCTCATACGCCTTGTTTCACCTCTTTTTGCGTGCCGTTGGAGCTTTGAAAGTTAGCCAAAAATAAGATTTCTCTCTCTCTCTCTCTCTCCTTTTGTTTTTTCCTTTATCTTCTATCTCCATGCTTCCTCCTTCCTTTCCACAATTATTCTCTTTTTTTCTCTTCTTTCATGGCCACGAGCTCGGTGGAAGGGCCATAAAGGAAGAGAAAAAGAGAGAACAATTTTGGAAAAGGAAGGAGAAATGAAGAAGCATAAAGATAGAAGATAGAGGAAGGGGGAAAAAAAAAACAATTTTTTATTTTTTTATTTTTGGCCAACTTTTGGAGCTCTAATGGCATGCAAAAAGAGGTGAAACAAGGCGTATGAGGGGTTGAATGAAAATTACGCCATGAGGTGAATCCAATGATGCGAAAATGAGGCAAAATGGAGTTACGACAAGGGAGATACAAGTTCCTGAACATATGAGCTTGAATCTAAAAATTTTGCCCACAAAGAGAAAAATCGTATTTTTAGTCAACTTTTAGAGCTCCGACGGCACGCAAGAAGAGGTAGAACAAGGCATGAAAATTAAGTCGTGTGGTGAATCCAAAGACGCAAAAATGAGATGAAACAGAGTTATGACGAGAGAACATGCGGGTTTGAATATGAAATTCTACTAAGATTTTTGTTAGCTTAATATGACAGAAATGGATAGAGGGATCAGATTGAAACACAGGTGAAATGATGGGGTTTAATTTGTCGAAACTGAAAACCTGGGGTTTAAAATGAAAAAGGCGCAAACCCCTAAGATTTTTTGTGTAATTAACCCAAAAAATAATAGACTATTTGAAAAGTAAAAAAATAAAGTAAAATTTGAGTAAATTAAAGAAAAAATCACTAAATACAAATATTAAATGTTGCTTTTAAAAATCTGATCAAATCAAACATTTATCTTTTATTTAAAAAAGAAAATGGACATTTTGAAACAAGTATTATTATTTAAGAAATATATTTTTTATGTTATTCATTGAAAAAGATATGACAAATAAGTTAGATTATACAAGTTTAATTAATAAATTTGAAACTAAAAATGTAAAGAAAAAAAAAAGAGAAAAGAAAAAGAAAAAAAGCAAAACATTATTTTTTTCAACCAAACATAAAAGGAAAGGACTAAAAAGTAAAAGAAAAAAATCGACTAAAAAAAAAGATGATATTTTGGTCTTATTATAAAATAAATAAATTAATAAATAAAATTTTGTTCAATCAAATATTTATTAATGTTTTTTTTTTTTAATATCTAAATTCTATATTAGAGGAAGTGGTTAGATTCATATATATAATCTTAACTAATGCCTTATAAAAATTCACATAAAAATTTGGTACGTTTCCCTCCAATCTATTTGGACTTGTGCAATTCATTACGGATTTCATTTTAATAATTTTAATTATTCATTTTGTTAAGTACTTAATGTATTTCATCTATAAAAAACAAAAATTAGATCAATCTGATAACTATAACTTCTTCAATTTATTACGGTTCTCACTAAAAAAAAAAATGATTTATTTTTAAAAAATACAATTGTTATCTATTTGTTTAGTGAAAAATTAAAAATGTTATAATTATCCGATCGACTTAATTTTTTATATGAATGAAATACAGAAAATATCTGACAAAAAAAATAATTTAAATTATCAAAATAAATTCCGTAATAAATCTTACGGACCCAAACAACCCCTTCCAAATCAAAATCTAGAGGGGAGGGATCCTCTCCAATTATAATTTTGTTTGGTGAGTTTCTCAACTGTACAGGGTGGAGGGGAGGCACCAGTTAAAGCAGGCAGGCAGGCAGGCAAACATTTAAAGCCGCTATGGAAATCGGTGGGACATGTTTACCTCTTTCTATTCTCCCCATTTATTGTTACAGCTCTCTAACCAACTCTCTCTTTTCTCTCTCTGAGTGGAGTGTGTGTGTGAAACTAAGCAAAATTTCAACAAAACAGATTCATGAAAGCTATATAGTACATGGTAGCTAAAGCACTTTTTGAGGAGGTGATCCATTTTGTATTTTGATAATTTAGAACCCAAAAAAGTCTATTAAGTTTGAGAGAATGTCGATTTATACAGTGAAGGTGGAAGAATCGACTCCGGCGACCGATCAAAAGCCGTCGGCGGGGCCTGTGTATCGCTGCATTTATGCAAAAAACGCTCTCATGGATCTCCCACCCGGGCTGGACTCGCTCTGGGACTTCTTCAGGTACATAAAACACACACTCACTCACACTCACTCTCTCTCTCTCACACACACACACATATCTTTCTCACACACATGTTGTAGGATTGGGCCTCTCTCACGTTGATGAGATCTAAACATGGGAGAATTTAAGAGACTGATAGAGGCCATTACGGGTCTAAAATGAACAATTTGAATTATTAAATCGAGACTTATAATAATTTTTATAACTTTTCAATTTCTCTCATGTTAAGATTTCAACATGAGCGAAATCCTACGTAACAATGAGAATATATACCAACATGATGCATTTATAATTTTACTCCGAATAAGTTTACACACACACAACCAATTATAAAACCAATTGCATAAAAATCTTGACCCATACATATTAGAGAGTGAAGGTCATCATAAAAATGTAATTTTACTCAAATTGTTCTATTTATGTTTTACGTGGTTGGTTTCTTATTTGTAAATTTATCGCTTTATGTCTAAATTATTTTTTGTGATTTGATGAATTAGAGATTTTTATATGAAATTTTTATATATAATGATATGATTTCTTTTGATTTGTTCATTTAAAATCAAACATTCACTATTTTTGACTCATAATTTATCAAAATACTACTATTAGATTATTTTTGAATTTTATTTTTCTATTAGAATTCATCAGATCAGATGCATCACAATGTGATGTGAGCTTGAATGGCTTAAATTCGTGGATCAGGGTAGTTATATGTCCCTGTCCCCTGTACGTGGTTTCTCATAATTCTCTAACCAATTAGTCAATTGATTATGAAACTCTTCATTTATCTCTTGCAACTCTAATAATCTCATGTATTGAGATTTTCATTTCAATCATGCAATAAAGAAGATTTTGATTCTCAAATGTGTTAGGACCCAATGTGACAACCAATTTTTTATTATTTAATTTATTTATTATTTGACATATAATGATTTGTTATTGATGGGATCACAATGAATCCCACGTTCTATCATTGTACATGTGTCATGTCAAATAATAAATAAATTTAGTAAAAATATTTAGGCCTCGTTTGGCAAGAGGCTATTTTAGTCAATTAGTTAAAAAGTTACTAAATTAGCCAAAAAGCCAACAACCCATATCAAAAAGTCAAAGATTCTCTTTTCTTTCTACTTTTTGTACATCTTTTTGTAATTAGTCATCCCAAACATACAAGTTTTTTTTACCTACTTTTTTAGCTAAATAGCCAAAAAGTTACTAAATTAGCCTGTTCCCAAACGAGGCCTTAGCCATTCTTACATTATTGATTAATTGTGTTTTAGTATTAGTCATATTTAGGTTTGGTTTGGCTATGGCTAAAAGCATAGTTTATTGGCTGCTTTTTTCCTTTTTATTATTATTATTATTATTAAATAAAAAGACTGAATTCATTTGTCAGATACATTTCCTAAAAAAAAAAAAAAAAGGTTTAGCTTTAAAGAAAAAAAGTTTAACTTTAGCTACTAAAAAAATCCAATAGAATAAGTCAAAACTTTAGGAATGTGCACAATAAATTAATTTTTTTTAATATTAAGATTTTTACGAACTTATTCTTTAATTAATAAATTAAAGGTTCAGAGGTTGGTGCGTGCGAGTCAGAAACGTCAGAAAATGATGTTGAAGGAGATAGCGGACCAATCAAAACTAATAGCATTAAAAGTGTCAGTATATAAGCAAATTATTTTGACAAGTCAAATTATTTATTTATTTATTTTTGAAATTAGATGTTTAAAATTGTCACACTTTCTAAACAATTTTATTTTTTATTTTTTTATTTTTAAACCTATCATGTGTTGTCGGTTGACCTTCTTACAAAGTGGACAATTGGAGAGAAACCTTTATTTATTTCGTGTGGAAAAAGTGGAAGGTAAAAAACAAAATTACAATAATTTTTCCTAAAGTTTGAATTTATAATAAATTTATGATTTTAATATAATTATATTGATATTTTTTTTTAGTAAATTTAAAGAAGTTAAATTAAAGTAGAAAGTGCGGAGATACAAAAATAAATAAGATAAAATATATATTTTAGTATAAAGAATATGAAAATATAATTTTTTTTTAAGTTAAGGAAACTCAATGTAATTATTTGGTAAAAAATTATGTAAAATTAATAAAAATTACATGATTAATTTTTTAAAATTAATTTTACATGATCATCATCCAAACACATAATAAAAATTAATTTGGTAAAAAAAATAAATAAATGTCTAAAAGATTTATCAATTTTTCATAATTTTATTTTTAATAGATAGAAATAATTTTTAAAAATTCAAAAATATTTGTTTGACATTTATTTTTGTCAAATTAGTTTATATTTTATCAAATTGACAATTTTATCCTTGGAAAATCTAATTATATATTTAATTGTCCTTATTTGGAACAAGATTCAAAATTCAGGGTCAAATGTGTCATAATTGAAAAGTCAGAAACCAAAGTGACACAAGCCCCAAACTATAGGAACTATTTGTGTAATTTACCCATATATTTAATATTAGACATATTTTAAGAATAAATATATAATTTCTTAATCAAGTTTTAGAATATTAATAAATATGCCAAATATACATTCATATATATATATTTTTATTTCGGTAATAAGAAATTTTACAATATTTTTACCATTTTAAAAAATAAATAAGTGGGCAATGTGATGGTTGGGCATGAACCAAAACGATTATCTAAAAAATAGATTGATATATAGCATAAAAATCAACAAAATCTAGTTTCTACACTATTTTTAGTATTTGATCTAATATTAGCTCATACCCATTAGAACTTAATAAATTATTAAGCATAAGTTTAAATTGATTAATATTAACTGTTTTCACTAATTGACCGATCAATTTTTAAATCGAGCCCAATATAGCACTAGAACAAGCTCCATATTTTAGGTTGACCAAGTATTATATAATTTTTTCATATATAAATATACTTCATTATTTGTGTAAGAATTTTTAATATAAATATATAATTTTTTTACAATAAATAAATAAATAAATATGCCAAAAATATACATACATTTTCTTATTTTGGTAATAAAAAATAATCATAATATATTTACCAATTTTAAAATAAAAAAATGAGTTAAGTGATCATGAATTGGGTATAAATGAAGATAATTCTCCAAGAATTTAATTGTTGGCATAAAAATTGATCTTAATCTAACTTCTAAACTATTTTTAGTATTTAATGTAAGTACTATCCTTCAAATTAGTTCATACTATTTAAAACCTGAGAAATTATAATATAATTTAAATATATAATTTAAATTAATTACTATTACCAACTATTTCTATTAATTGACCAGGTCGAAATTATGTTTAGAACAATGCCCATATTTTAAGTTGACCTTGGATAATTTTTTTACATGTAAATATAATTAACTATTAATGTAATAATTTTAAATATAAGTATAAAATTTTATCAAAATTTGAATTTTTTAATAACTATGCATAAATATGTACATATTTCTTATTTTATTATAAAAATACTAACATATATTTATTTACCAATTTAATAAATAAATAAGTTGAGTGATTCATGCTTAAGTATAGACTAAGACAATTATCTAATGATTATGTCATGGCCAAGTTGAAAACACAAGAAACCAAGTCAAGGTCAATATGGCTACGTTTGTTTCCATCATGAATCACATATGCTTCCGTACTTTTAGTGTCTCGCAGAATTATAAATTCTCAGAAATTATAATTTTATGCCTAAGTAGACATATTTTTAAACTTTTACAAAATAGACAATGGTTAATTAATAAATTTACAAATATAATTTATTATATGATTGGCTATTTCTGATATAAAATAAACTAAATTACAAAACTTATAAGACAAAAGACATTTATATTTCATTGTAAATATAATTTTTGTAATTTTATTGTCACTTTTTAAAAAATACATTTCTTATAAATAAATTTTATGTTATTTATTTAAATTTGTACATAGCACATGTATTATGGTTTATAAAATAATTTTAAAAAATTACATCCATGCTATGAAAATCTCTTAAAAAAAGGTGAGTGAGATAGAAGAATATGAAAACTGTCCAATGTGAGCTACCAAAACTAGCAAGTGTGAGAAAATTTAAAAGCTGTACCTAATATGTAAATGCTGATTTCAATAAAGATGAGAGGATAAGGATCAATGGTAGTTTATTGTTTGTTATTTTGATTTTGTTAATCAAATTTTCGATTTAAACAAATTTTGCTAGATTGAGTTTCACAAAACAATTATTATTATTATTATTCTTATTATATGGCAAACTAAAAAAAATGTAATTAGTAAAAAATAATAATAATAATTATTGAGTTTCACATAGTTTACGATATCATCTAATATATGACAAACTAAAATTATGAAATCCTTAGAAAATAATAATGTATTTATATTTTATCATAGGTGTAGTTTTTGTTCCTAAAAATAAAAATTAAAAAGTGTAATTTTATAATTTATCATAATTTTTGTTTAATTTTTACTAATTACATTATGATTCATGTTATTGTTATTTAAAACTTAAAACATAGCATTAATGGTAGGGGGAAATCATAAGCTAAATTGTGATAAAAATAGACAAAAATTTAATTAATTTTATTTTTTTTACTGTTTAATTTTAATTTTAATATTAATTATTAATTATTTATTTGAAACCGTGCATAATATTTTGGTATTACGCTAATATTTTATAATATGAAATTTCCTAGGCTTTTATACAAAAAAATTATTTTATATTATTTTATCTTCTTAAAATGTGAGCCGTTAAAAGAAAAAAGTTTGTTGAGACAGAGACACTACCCCCGTTTGGGATTACACTTTGGGCTAAAATCGTTATATAAAATAAAATTAGTAATTTTAGTTAAAGAAGATAAAATATCATATTTAATTCATAATTATTTTATTTTTTCTCTTATAAAAGTTAAAAAAGTCAAAAAACCTATCACAAACAAGATTTTTTAATCTTAAGTTAAAATAATCAAAAAATAAAAAGACTAAAAAATCAACCCATATAAGATTTATGCATAAATAAGTCCAATCAACCAAAAAGGGTACTTTGTGATTAGGGTCGTGCAAAATATTGTTCAATTTGCTAAAATCACATCAATCTGTTTTGTTCTATCCACTAACTGCTGATTAAATTTTAAAATTTATAATCTTCTTTTGAAACTGCACCGTTCCGCTCCATTATAGTTGATACATATATATTTTTAGCTTCTAATGAAATATTAAAGTAAAAACAAATGTGAGAGAGATTTAAGATATGAAATTTGTTACAAATTATAATTATATATATGAAAAATAGTGTAAAATTAGTTTGTGTTATATTTAGGAAAAATATTATGCAAATTAATATTATATAAACATTTGATAATTGATTAAAAATATTTTTTAATTTATCTCAAATCGCGATTTAATTATCCATTAATCCATCATTAAATTAACAATTTGACTCTCAAAACATCCAACTTGTGGCCGGTCTGGAATTATTAGTACAAACATACCGCCCAACCAATGCAAGAAATAAAAAATTGGTACAAACCTATGACCCACCCACCCAGCTAACCCTGAATTATAAATGTAATAAAAGTATATGTGAATTGGCCCATGCAGGTCTCGAACCTGCGACCTTCGCGTAATTAGCACGGCGCTCTAACCAGCTGAGCTAATAGGCCAGTCGTTTCTATTGAAGTTTCGTAAAATCCTAAAACTAAACTTTAGGGTTGAGCTGTTGCTAGAATGTATGACTTTGAATTGAATTCATCCAATTTACTTACACACTCAAATTCGAAATCATGGTGGCAGTAGTTCTGTTCAGAGGAACCCCAAAAATCGTATGCTGGGTCGTCGTCAAATCATCGACTCAAAGGTACCCCTCCCTCTCTCTCTCTCTCTCTCTCTAAATGTGTATATATATATATATATTCCTATCATTCCAAATATTAATTTCGTATTTCATTTTTCATTATTTCAAAATATTAGTTTATTTTCAAAAATTGAAAACTAAAATAATACTATAAATTTTTTATTTTGTCCTTATTTTAAATTTATTAACAACACAAAAAGTACAATTATGATAATTGATATTTCGAAAAAAATGTACTATCCAAGGATAATTTTGAAAAAGTAATCAATTTGCTTGGTTAAGTTTTTCAAAAAATACTTTTCAGAAAATTTTATTTTATTGTTTTTCGTGTTTTTTTGTTTTTATTGAATTTTTTAAATATTTTAAGCAAATTTTTTTTTTTACTTTTTAGATATAGCTAATGTAAATATACCTAAAAAGTAAAAAATTTGTGAAAAAAACCTTATAAAAATTCATCAAATACCAAAGATACAAAATAAAAAATACGAGAATTCAGTACATTTTTTATATTTTTTAAAATATTTTTTTTATAAATTTTTTTACTTTTTAGATATATCTAAGTTAAGGTGCATATTAAAAAAGTAAAAAAAAAATGTTTAAGATTTTAAAAAATATTCACTAAAAAAATAAAAAAATACGAAAATTCAAAAAATTTTAATTCAAAAACTTAATCCAAAAATTCAAACTAAACACAGAAGATATTTAAGGTGCGATAGAATTGTTAATTCCAAAGAGATTATTATGTTTGGAACGAAGAAAGCATATATATGTAATATATATAAGTATAGTATGTGGCATATGTGCTTCAACAGCCAGAATGAAAATACCCATTATCAATCATATCACTTTTAATCAGTATAAAGAAAGGACGGATGCACTCAAAAATCCAAATCTTTATCTTAATGACTCATTTGGTCCTACATTTTTATCTTATGATCCAATTAAGCCCAAGCTTAATGTAATGACAAATAACTAATGTTACAACTATGTTTTTGCCGCTTTTTAGTAAGATGGGTAAATGAGGAAAACCCCAATGTGGTATTGACGAAATGCCTAAACTCTGTAGATGTTTGTTTTTCCTCCAACACAATCGTTACATCGATGTTAATGGCCTTTTTTTGGGGTTTGGTGTTTATCACCATCAACATCACTAAAAAAACATCATCGAAAATCATCAATATCATAAAACATCATCAAACATCATTCAAACTACATCACCAACATCACTAAAAAAAACTTCATCAAAAAAACATCATAAAAATACTATCAAAAACATCAACAACATCAAAATCAACAAAACATCATTACAAAAAACATCAACAACATCCAACTTTAAAAAAACATCATCAAAACATACAACATCACGAACATTAATATTAGCAGTGTGACAATCAAACATTCCGTTTAATCAAATTTTTAATAGGGTTTTTGTTTGAATATATGATCATCAAACGTGTGACCCTATATCATGCAACATCGTGAAACATCAACCCTCATCCTGAAAGGACTCAATCGTATCACAATCGCCCTCATCCGCTCCTCCAACCGCTGAGATCCAGATCCACCACACCGCCAGATCTCAGTTTCACCTTCGTCGAAAGTCACCGCCGTCAACCGACCGAAGACGAAGATACATCAGTCGCTACGGCAGATCGTTCGGCAATATCGGCGGCGGTCCGGGGATATCTCCCTCTCTCGGCGTCGCTCCTCCCCGCTACTCCTCCGCCTCTCCGTTTGCTCCAATCGCACCCTACATCGCTCCTCCAATCGCGAGATCCAGATCCACGACATAAATCTTCTATCCACAACTCACCTTCCACAAAACCTTTTGCAGAGTTCTTGGTCTAAAAACAGAGAAGAAGAGCAATTTATAATGATGACAAAGATCGGCTTATAATTATATTCGATTTTGCAGAACAGTGTGATGGATCAGTGGGTGCGTTGCATATATAGAGAGAGAGAAAGAGAGAGTAATGTTCTATCTACAAAGACGCAAATCTCCATAAAAAATATATGTTGATGTTTGATGTATATGTTGATGTTTGTGGAATGGTTGTTTGTTTAGTGATGTATAATGAATATGTTGATGTTTGATGTATATTTTTTTTAGTGATGTTTGATGTATATGTTTTTGATGTTGCAGATTTTTAGGAAAACAACATTCCACAAAAGGGGTACTATTGTAATCTGCAAAAATAATCAAAATTAAATAAACAACATTACCAAAATAAATGGTTAGGCCTCGTTTGGCAAGTGACTATTTTAGCCAAAAAGTCAAAAAGTTACTAAAAAAATCAAAAAGCCAACAACATATACCAAAAAGTCAAAGATTCCGTTTTTCTCTATACTTTTTTACACATCTTTTCGTAAAAAACTAAAAAAGTCATCCCAAACATACTAGTTTTTTTTAACATCACATTTAAGCCAAAAAGTCAAAAAGTTACTAAAAAAGCCTATTCCCAAACGAGGCCTAAGAAAATTTTTTAAGACTAAATGGTTCAACTTTTCAGAAAAATAGGATTTTTGCGTAAATTTCCAATAAAGAAAAGCAAGATGAAGAGCCCATTAAGTTCCATGATTTGTAGTTCCAGAATAAGATAAGAAATGACTAATCATCAATTTCAATGTGAAATTTTTTTGAAAAGGCGGGTCCGTATGTTTGGTTCACATATGAGGAGGCTTTTATGATCTTGCTCGTCGGATTGGTTCCGCAATCCGGAGCCGCGGCCTCAATCCTGTAAGTTTTTAATTTTAATCAAACCATCGATTTCAAGTAAATTAGTTTTGTAACTGATTAGTGTATATTGTGGGATTATGTGTTTTCAGGGTGACCGGTGCGGTATATATGGATCCAATTGCCCCGAGTGGATAATCTCCATGGAGGTATATTTATTGCTTTTCGCTTGTTTGATTTGTTAATAAGATTAGGTGGGATAGCTTACCTAGATTAACTTATTCAGAAATGAATATTTAGTCATTTTACAGTCCATCCAAAATAAAGCTCATGTCACAAGTACAAGCCAAATGCAGTATAAATTTTATCCCGGGGTAAAATAGTCCTATCACTCTTATCCACTAATCAGGCATGGCCAGAATGTAGGAAGAAACTTGTTGCCTCTATGTACACACATTTGCAATGGCAGTTCTTTCTTGTTTATTATACTAGTTGTTTTCTTTACCTAATAGGCCAAAATCATTACCAATTTGAGTTACCTATTTGTCAGTGTTGGAAAGCTTATTTGACTTCCTAGTATTTTGTTGAACATAATTATTTGATTTTTACAACAGGCTTGTAACAGCCATTGCATAACCTATGTACCACTGTATGACACGCTCGATATGTTTTCAACCTTTTCAATAAACGATTAGGCTGTTATTTTGAGCATTTGTGAGCTGAAATGCAGAATACATGCTGAGTAAATTTAAATTTTATAGCCATTGAGTGAGTCTGTCTTGGTTCTGCTGGTGTCACAGGTGCAAATGCCGTGGGATTCATCTCAACCATGCCGAAGTTTCCATAGCTTTTTGTTCAAGAGAACAAGATACGGGCTGTATGTTTTCATTTCTTCTTCGTCGACCAAAAATTTATCATTTGGGAATTATCATAATCAATATTTCAGCAATATTTCTGTTTGGGAATTAATACAACCACCAAACCTTCTTTATCATGATTGAAACCACACTAAGACCCAAGATCGACATCCAGAGCTGCTCATATAGCTACAATATCAAAGAGAAGAATACAATAATTTTATTAATTTTTTTTTTTTAAAAAAAGAAAAAACTTATACTATAGAATTATATAATTAGTATCGGTTTGATAAAGGAGCTTTTAAGCCCTTTTTCCTTGCTGAGAAATGCCCCTTGTGTGAAAATGCTCGGGTGACTCTAATTAACCAATCCAGTGAGCTGGTACCAATCCTAGAAGAGGAAAGAAAGTTTGTAGAGCTTGAATCTGATTACACTATACTTAATGAGCATAATGTTTCTTTTGATTTGGCTATCACCATAGCTTCGTTGTTTTTCAATTTTTGGTTTTACCATCTCCAAATGTTCAATGGGTAAATAATCCGGAAGGCTTTGATTCTCGATTAGTGAGATGAGTGGTATTAATATCTATTTTTGTAATACTTAATTTTAACTCCTTGTGCAGATACTAACATGCCTCGCAAGGTGTACTTCACATCTAAAAAGTAGGTCATAAATTCGTAAGGTTAATTTTGTTAGAATGACTATTACTTAACGCTCCTTTTGTTTTGGGCAGAACCACGTGTTCTACGAAACATACCTTTCCAAATTTTTTTGCCTATATTTTGTTGTGACCTTGAAACTAATTTGCTATTGGTAGTATTAGTGGTGGTGGTGGTTGTAACAATGGTGGTGGAAGTGGTAGTCGTGGTGGCAATGGTGGTGGCGGGTGGTGTGGTGTTGGAGGTAAGTTGTGATGGCGTCGTGGTAGAGGTGGTAGTGTGGGCATTGGTAAGTTATAATAACCAAATCAAACCAAGTCTTAAGTTCCATCAAATGGGGTCGGCTGTATGAATCCTTCTTCTCCACTTGACTTCTATTTAAGGTTATTTCGTTAGTCCAATTTTAAGGATATTCATATTTCTATTTCTATACTAGTTCACGTCAATGTAGGTCTATCCCATCCCTAACACTCTCATCTACCGTCAGTGTAAATTGCATCTCTTTACTACTGCCTCTATTGGTCTCCGTTGTATATAACCAAATCATCTCAATCTGTTCTTTCTCAACTTATATTCTATCGGTACTACTCCTATCCATTATCGTAATTACTCATTCCTAACTCTGTTTTATAAGTCTTGCCACACGTCCACCTTTACATCCCATCTCACAACACTCATCTTCCCTACACTCATCCTCTCTATAATGTTGTTTCTTCAGGAGAAGATGGAGGAGCAAGAGATAGAGAGAGAGAAAAGGGAAGATGAAGAACATGTTATTGATTTGTTGAAACTGTAAGACCTATGCTATTCTATTCAGCTGCTATCACTAAATCATTTTATTTGTGTGTGTCTATCTATATATTGTTTGAAAATAATAATAACAATAAGTGTGGTCATTATCTATTTGGCTTGGTTAAAATATATATATATATATATTTAAGCTCTGATTTATTCTTTTACTTTTATCATTATTTATCTTATATATAATAGTTAGTGATTGATTTTTTATATAATATAAAGTCATTAATTATTAAAATAAAATGTAAAAAATTCAATTTATAGTTATTTAAATATATGAAATATATTGCATCATACTTAAAATTTACAAAAATTGATCAATATTTATTTTTAATCCAATAAATATGATCATGGAAAAAAAATATGCATATCGGTAAGTTTTTTTCAAATTGTGCAAAAAATAAAACAATTCACGGTTCCGGTTACCGCAACCGTTACACTACGGCCTTTACACCCCGCAACCGCTACCGCGTCACCGCCACCGTTACGGCGACCGCAACCGCTTTTCAGAACCTTGGCCGTCGACGACCGAAGACGAAGAATCGCAGTCGCCACGACAATCGTTCGGCAAGATCGGCGGCGTCCGGGGATATCTCTCTCTCTCTCTCTCTCTCTCTCTCTGCGTCGCTCCTCCACCGCAACTCCTCCGCCCTTCTCTGTTGCTCCAATCGCACCCTCATCCGCTCCTCCAACCGCGAGATCCAGATCCACGACATAAATCTTTTATCCACAACTCACCTTTCCACAAAACCCTTTTGCAGAGTTCTTGGTCTAAAAACAGAGAAGAAGAGCAATTATAATGGTGACAAAGATCGGCTTATAATTATATCAATTTTGCAGAACAGTGTGATGGATCAGTGGGTGTGTTGCATATAGAGAGAGAGAGAGAGAAAGAGAGAGTAATGTTCTACTCTACAAAGACGCAAATCTCCATAAAAATATATGTTGATGTTTGATGTATATGTTGATGTTTGTGGAATGGTTGTTTGTTTAGTGATGTATAATGTATATGTTGATGTTTGATGTATATTTTTTTAGTGATGTTTGATGTATATGTTTTTATGATGTTGCAGATTTTTAGGAAACAAACATTCCACAAAAGGGGTACTATTGTAATCTGGAAAATAATCAAAATTAAATAAACAACATTACCAAAATAAATGGGACTAAGGCCTCGTTTGGCAAGTGGCTATTTTAGCCAAAAAGTCAAAAAGTTACTAAAAAAATCAAAAAGCCAATAACCTATACCAAAAAGTCAAAGATTCCCTTTTCTCTCTACCTTTTACACATCTTTTCGTAAAAAATTAAAAAGTCATCCCAAACATACTAGTTTTTTTTACATCACATTTTAGCCAAAAAGCCAAAAAGTTACTGAAAAAACCTATTCCCAAACAAGGCCTAAATGGTGCATAAGAAAATTTTTAGGACTAAATGGTTCAACTTTTCAGAAAATAGGATTTATGCGTAAATTTTCCATAAAGAAAAGCAAGATGAAAGCCCATTAAGTTCCGTGATTTCTAGTTCCAGATAAGATAAGAAATGACTGATCATCAATTTCAATGTGAATTTTTTTGAAAGGCGGGTCCGTATGTTTGGTTCACATATGAGGAGGCTTATGATGCTGCTCTTCGGATTGGTTCCGCAATCCGGAGCCGCGGCCTCAATCCTGTAAGTTTTAATTTTAATCAAACCATCAATTTCAAGTAAATATAGTTGTAACTGATTAGTGTATATTGTGGGATTATGTGTTTTCAGGGTGACCGGTGCGGTATATATGGATCCAATTGCCCCGAGTGGATAATCTCCATGGAGGTATACTTTATTGCTTTTCGCTTGTTTGATTTGTTAATAAGATTAGGTGGGATAGCTTACCCGGATTAACTTATTCAGAAAATGATATTTTAGTCATTTTACAGTCCATCCATAATAAAAGCTCATGTCACAAGTACAAGTCAAATGCAGTATAATTTTATCCCGGGGTAAAATAGTCCTATCACTCTTATCCACTAATCAGGCATGGCCAGAATGTAGGAAGAAACTTGTTGCCTCTATGTACACACATTTGCAATGGCAGTCTTTCTTGTTTATTATACTAGTGTTTGGCTTTACCTAATAAGTAGGCCAAAATCATTACCAATTTGAATTACCTATTTTTCAGTGTTGGAAAGCTTATTTGACTTCCTAGTATTTTGTGAACATAATTATTTGATTTTTACACAGGCTTGTAACAGCCATTGCATAACCTATGTACCACTGTATGACACGCTCGGTATGTTTTCAACCTTTTCAATAAACGATTAGGCTGTTATTTTGAGCATTTGTGAGCTTGAAATGCAGAATACATGCTGAGTAAATTTAAATTTTATAGCCATTGAGTGAGTCTGTCTTGGTTCTGCTGGTGTCACAGGTGCAAATGCCGTGGAGTTCATCATCAACCATGCCGAAGTTTCCATAGCTTTTGTTCAAGAGAACAAGATACGGGCTGTATGTTTTCATTTCTTCTTCGTCGACCAAAAATTTATCAATTTGGGAATTATCATAATCAATATTCAGCAATATTTCTGTTTGGGAATTATACAACCACCAAACCTTCTTTATCATGATTGAAACCACTTGCTCATATAGCTACATATCAAAAAGAAGAATACAATAATTTTATTAATTTTTTTTTTTAAAAAAGAAAAACTTATACTATAGAATTATTAATTAGTATCGGTTTGATAAAGGAGCTTTTAAGCCCTTTTTCTTGCTGAGAAATGCCCCCTTGTGTGAAATGCTCGGGTGACTCTATTAACCAATCCAGTGAGCTGGTACCAATCCTAGAAAGAGAAGAAAGTTTGTAGAGCTTGAATCTGATTACACTCTACTTAATGAGCATATGTTTCTTTTGATTTGGCTATCCGCATAGCTTCGTTGTTTTCAATTTTTGGTTTTACCATCTCCAAATGTTCAATGGGTAAATAATCCGGAAGGCTTTGATTCTCGATTAGTGAGATGAGTGGTATTAATAATCTATTTTTGTAATACTTAATTTTAACTCCTTGTGCAGATACTAACATGCCTCGCAAGGTGTACTTCACATCTAAAAAGTAGGTCATAACTCGTAAGGTTAATTTTGTTAGAATGACTATTACTTAACGCTCCTTTTGTTTTGGCAGAAAACACGTGTTCTACGAAACATACTTTCCAAAATTTTTTTGCCTATATTTGGTCGTGACCTTGAAACTAATTTGCTATTGGTAGTATTAGTGGTGGTGGTGGTTGTAACAATGGTGGTGGAGGTGGTACTCGTGGTGGCAATGGTGGTGGCGGGTGGTGTGGTGTTGGAGGTAGTTGTGATGGCGTCGGGGTAGAGGTGGTAGTGTGGGCATTGGTAAGTTATAATACCAAATCAAACCAAGTCTTAAGTCCCATCAAATGGGGTCGGCTGCATGAATCCTTCTTCTCCACTTGACTCTTTTTAAGGTCATTTCATTAGTCAAATTAAGGATATTCATATTTCTATTTATTATACTAGTTCACGTCAATCTAGGTCTATCCCATCCCTAACACTCTCATCTACCATTACTATATTGCATCTCTTTACTACTGCCTCTGTTAGTCTCCGTTGTATATAACCAAATCATCTCAATCTGTTCTTTCTCAACTTATATTCTATCGGTACTACTCCTACCCATTCTCGAATATACTCATTCCTAACTCTGTTTTTTATAGTCTTGCCACATGTCCACCTTTACATCCTCATTCATCTTAACATCCTCATCTCAACTACACTCATCTTCTCTATATGTTGTTTCTTAGCATCCGGAAAACATTTTCCACTTTCAAAATTAGAAACATTTTCCGACCAAATAAGCTTTCCATTAACCACGAAAATGTTGTTTGTTGACTTTCATTTTTTGTCATACCAAACACCATAAAAATGTAGAAAACATTTTTTGCGAAACAAATGGAGCATAAATTTACATTTTGGGGATGTTACTAAAAACTGCTTCTTCCTTTGTTAAGCTATTGTCAGCTTTGGGGAGATTTCGAGTGGGCAAAAGAAGGAAGCTGAAGACCTCGGTGTATCTTGCTTCTCTTGGAAAGAATTTGCTCTATTGGTAAGTCCTTCACATCAATATTTTATTTTACAGCTCAAGTAGTCCATTCTTTGGTGGTTTAAGCAGTTGCTCAGTTTGATTGTTGTTGCCACCTCACCTTGTTTATCTATCTTTTTCAGGGAAATTTGGATCACGAGCTTCCCAAAAAACAGAGAAGTGACATCTGCACGATAATGTATACGAGTGGAACGACAGGAGAGCCTAAAGGTGTTATTTTAACTAATGGGGCTATCATGGCAGAAGTTTTGTCTACAAACCAACTACTATTAGAAACTGTCGAAGCGGTAAAATTAGATTGTATATCTTTCATGTTTCAAAAGTGATTATTTCCGAACCTTGCTCTGAAATTTGAACCTAAGAAGTAATCTCATGTACCGACCGATGTTATGACCTACTTTTTGTAGAGCTAAAATGTCATCTTTGCAGTAATCATGTGATAATAGCACTAAAGAATATAACAATAACTTTTTCTCTTACAGGGAACAGAAGAAGATACATATTTCTCATTTCTTCCCTTAGCCCATATATATGATCAGATAATTGAAACCTATTGCATCTACAGCGGTTCTTCAATAGGATTTTGGCAAGGAGTAAGATTAACATTCATTTCTTGCCGTTGTTTATTATATTTCTTGTTAGTTCAATTTGGTCTTGCAACTCATTTTTTCTTTCTTTTTACTGAAAGGATGTCAGATATTTGACTGAGGACATTGTTGAACTGAAACCAACGATGTTTTGTGGGGTTCCTAGAGTTTATGACCGGATATACACAGGTACAAAAATCATCTTCGTATATGATCACATGCTTTGTTGATTCTTGTTTTGCTAACCATGGAAATAATTTGCATGTGGAGGTATAATGGAGAAAATCTCAGCAGGAGGAGCATTGAGGAAGACACTGTTTCAATATGCGTATAATTAGTACGTCCTATTGTAATCCTTTTTTGATTTTCTCTGTCACTTTATGCGTTATTTTACCGTACTTGATATGAGGAAGCTATTAACAGCAAACTGAGGAATCTGGAGAAGGGATTGCAGCAAGACAAAGCAGCTCCTCTCTTGGACAAGCTCGTCTTTGATAAGGTCAGTTATGTATCCTCCCTAATCAGTATATCACAAAATTTGTGTAAATACTTAGTAATTTTTGAATTTTGATTGTGGTAGATCAAACAAGGATTAGGGGGACGAGTTCGTATTCTATTATCTGGGGCTGCACCTTTGCCAAGACATGTGGAGGAGTTTCTGAGGGTGACATGCTGCTGTGTCTTATCGCAAGGATACGGTATGGACAAATGACTTGATGAAAATTCAGGTCATGACGTTTAGGATAGCTTTGGAAGAAACTTCAATAATGACTATAAATTTATAAAAGTCTTTTCTTATTCTCGGAAATTTTGAAAAATTAGACAAATAAGAATTACAGTGATCACAACCCCAATTAGCTAGCACATTTGCTACACTATTTATTTACAAACAAATCTATTGAACTTTATGTGGTTTAATTGACACTACTTTCCTTTTGGAAAGAACTTTAGAAGGCCATTTTGGAAATTGAAAATGAAGTCAGTTAACAGAGTGCAAGCAACATTCTAGTGACCATTAGACGTGTGGCTTATTTAAGATTCTTTATGGATATATCTTAAGTTCTTGAATTGAATTCTTTTTCACCGGTTTTATGGATTCCTTTTCATTGAGTTGACTAACTGCTTCTCTAAAATCTTAACTAAATTTCAGGTCTTACTGAAAGCTGTGGTGGATGTTTTGCATCCATAGCCGATGAGTTCTCCATGATGGGAACAGTTGGAGTCCCTATGACAACCATCGAGACAAGGCTCGAGTCAGTGCCAGAACTGGGATACAATGCACTTGCCAGTGTGCCACGCGGAGAAATTTGCCTCAGGGGGAAAACCTTGTTCTCTGGCTACCACAAGCGGCAAGATCTAACTGAAGACGTGTTCATGGATGGGTGGTTCCATACAGGTCAGAATTTCTTAAAGAAATTTAAGCTATGATGAGTGTAGTCAAGTGCAGTACCTAAAAATAATGTTTGTTTTTAAGACAAATTGACTTAATTTGTGGCAGGTGTAGTCAATCTTGAACTATGTTTGTCTTTAGCCTCGTCACAATAAACCTTGAGTTCTCAATTTTATCAATTTAAACCCTATTCTTTTAATTTATTTTCAATCTAAATCATTCGCCTATTTTCGTTAAGTAAAATCGATGGAAAAAAGAATATTTTAGTCATTAAACTCTTTGTAGGCATACATAAAATGTCTAAAAATATCATTTTTAATGAGTTTAATGACTAAAATATTCATGTTTTCATTGATTTTACTTAATAGAAATAGGCAAATGTTTTAGATTGAAAACAAATCAAAAATTTAGGATTTAAATTTATAAAATTAAAAATTCACGGTTTATTTTGTTACAAGACTTAAACTCTGGAGTGTTTTTAGCAATTTCTCCTTGTTTTTAAGACAATTGTTTAGTACCTAAAAACAATACAATTGCAGGTAACCAAAGAATGAATTTTTGTTTATTTTCCATCAAAACAGCTGAAGTATTTCTGTTTCCTAATGAACCGAACAAAACATTAGTGGAATACCGAAGTTCCTATGTTTCCACCAAAACATATTAAAAATGCACTAAAAATATACTGAAACAATAAGTTGTTTCAACACGTATTAAAAATAATAACGCTAATTTCTATTTGCCTTTTTTTGACAAAAGAAAAATTTGAGAGTAAACAATATAGTATTAAATTTATTAGAGAATCCAAGAAACAAGAAAAGAGGAGATAGAGAGGAGAAGATTAAACAAGCACAATTAAAAGTCATTAAGATTTGTATAGGTTTTAGTTTTTGTTTCCAATATTTTCAAACGTTTTTTTTTTCCTCTCATTTTCCTTATGTGTCCTTATGTTTCCATTTTCAAGCTAACCGAAACAATATACCAAAATGAATTTTTGATCCTTGCAGGTGACATTGGAGAATGGCAGCCTAATGGAGCAATGAAAATCATTGACAGGAAAAAAAACATTTTCAAGCTGTCTCAAGGGGAATATGTTGCTGTGGAAAGCATTGAAAGCACATTCTTGCAATGCCCTCATGTGACATCTGTATGTCGATGATCAACCAACCATAGCACTCATAGCAGTAGTAAAAATGTTACCCGCTACAATATTGTATTTTTAAATGCTCCATTGAAACTAACAAATTCAGTAGTTTCTCTTATTCTTGAACGATGAAATTTGCTTGATTAGATTTTCACTGGTGCACAGATTTGGGTCTATGGCAACAGTTTCGAGTCCTTCCTTGTGGCCGTTGTGGTCCCCGATAGAAAGGCACTCGAGGAATGGGCGGTAAACAATAATGAAACAGGAGATTTCAAATTATTGTGTGCAAGCTCAAAGGCAAGGAAGTACATTTTAGATGAACTCAATAGCACCGGTCAGAAAAACAAGGTATGTGAATAAACCCCTTAACTCCTTATTGCTAGTTCTAGGCTTAGTTATGTTTTTCCTATCTGACATGAAAGACATTCACAGCTTAGAGGTTTTGAAATGTTGAGAGCAGTTCATTTGGAGCCTTATCCTTTTGACATTGAAAGGGATCTGATAACTCCAACATTTAAACTGAAGAGGCCACAGTTGCTGAAATACTACAAGGTATGTTTGTTCTTTCTATTTCCCTTGGTTGTCTTCCTTCCCTTTTCTTTCCAAGCTCGTGGCTTAATTTCTACTGTAATGCTCCATTTGTTTTTGCCAAAAACAGAAATTGATGGAAAACTTTTTCATGGTTAACGGAAAAAGAGTTGATTTAGAAGGAAAATGTTTTTTTCTTTTTAAATGTTGAAAACATTTTTCCGAACTAGTTTTACAAATGGTACCACCACATCACTCTTACCGCCACTACCCTACCACCACCCAAACCCCGCCACCACCACCACCACTACCACTTTTTCCGCCGCCACCACACCAATAGCACAAACTACTAGCACATCCATTTTATAGTCACAATCAAGATTGTTAAAATCGGGATCCTACGTTAGATCGTTGGAGGTATTTATAGGATCGAATCGTAGAATCGGATCAAGGATCGCAAGATCCTACCGAAATAGACAAATTACATACTAATTTAATTTAAATAAGCGTTTATTAAAAAGTATATACAAAATAAGCCTATATTCTACTAAAAAGAAATGAAGATATTGTGAAAAATATAATACTCCATGTAAAATGTAAATATAATATTATACAATAGAAAACTCGATGATAAAAATTTTGTGTTTCATCAAAGTTGAAGAAGAAGAATTCTATAACAGAATTGGATATGAAAATATATTAAGAACTCAAAAGGGTGACTTAATCGAATAATAAGGTTTGTTGTTAGCATCGACAGTGTCACAGTGGAGGGATTTGAGTTACGAAAATAGTCTCTCCAAAAATTTGAGTAAAGTTGCAATCATCTTGCCCTCTTTAGACCCCGCTAAAACAAAATTTGTTTTTCTGACTAGTTAATTTTCTTAAATTACTGCTGCTGCCGCTACCACTTTTTTCAGTGCTGCCACACCAATAGAACAAAGTACTAGCATATCAGTTTTATGGTCACAACCCAAAAAATAAAATAAAAAATGTAGAAAAATTATCTGAAAAATGTTTTTCACATAAAATCTTTTCCCCATGAGAATGTTTTCTACCGAAAAAAAGAAACATATGTCCCTTGCCGTCTTTCAAAGTTAGTCTGAGTGCTCAACCATTAGTAGTGGCAGTCAAACAAGTTGTTTCTGACTTTGGAGGGATTGGTGTTGAGCTTTCAAGCCTTTTAAGTCCGCTTCTTTCTAGGAGAAGGTGGTTGTGAAAGTTGAGGCATAATATGCCATCTGTAGGATTTCTCATAATTCAGATCAGGAATTGGCAGTTCGGACGAAGAGACCTCGCCCTTGCCTATGCAAACTAGTTTCCTAGCATTGCAATTAGACACGAAGTAAGCCAAGTCTTCACTTTGTTGCATTGGTTCCAACAAAAGCTTGAGATGCTGCCTCATTAATTGAAAATCTAATGCCGCAAAAAAGTGGACATAAAAGCTTTAACTGATCTCTTAACCGACCCTTGCTATTGAGTCTCTGGTTGCACCATGAAAGCTGATCGTTTGATGCTTCTCATTTCTCTTTTGTCAATGTCATCTGCAGGACCGCATTGATCAGTTGTACGATGAAGCCAAGGGAAAAAAGGAATGAAAGCGGTGCGGGAATGATATATAGAGACGAGTAACATGCTTTGCAGAATATGATTTCAGTGAGGCATAAGTTGATATATTTCCCCCTGGAAACTTTGGAGATGTTTATTCTTGTTCATGGTTGTGCTTAATTTAATATTTCATTCAAGTTTGTCGGATTAATCTTGTGTTTGCGATCATAAATGAATATGATTTCATAATTGGCAATGGATATGGAAAGCCTTAGTTATTTGCAACTACTCTCACTGAACTGTTTGTGTGAAATTTTGTGTGGATCAAATCCCTATGAGGAATATTTGGAAAACAAATGTTTAGAGAAAAGAATTAAGAAAAATAAGAAAACTTGTTTGATGAGTTGTCGGGAAAGTTGGGGAGTGGCTAGCGAGAGGGGAGGGGAAGTGGCTGGATGAGGGGAGAGGAAGGGAAGAATGAAAACTTGTTGGCACAATTACAAAAAAGCTCTTATGTTGTGTTTGGTTAGGGGATTTGAGAAGGGATTTGAAAAGGGAAATGAAAAAGGTAAATGAAATGTGAATAAAACATACTTATATTTCACATAGTTTTACACATATTTTCTCTTTCTCTTTCCAAATCCTTTTCTGAATTCCCCAACCAAACACAGCGTTAAGGTTTGAGATTTATAACAAAATAAACATGAGTTTTTAAGTTTGTCAAATTAAATCATAATCTTTCAATATATTATCAATTTAAATTGTTTACCATTTTTCGTTAAGTAAATGACGAAAAAAGAGTATTTTAGTCATTAAAAACAATATAAGTATACATTAAATGTCTAAAATATCATTTTTATTGTGTTTATTAATTAAAATATTCATGTTTGCCTCAATTTTACATTACGAAAATAGGTAAATAAATTAGATTGAAAACAAATCAAAAGTTTAGAGTTTAAATTGATAAAATTAAAAACTTAAGATTTATTTTTATTACAAAACTCAGTTCCTAAGTTTGGAAATTTTGAAAATTGTAGCTATTTTAAAAATAAAAAATAAAAACAACCCATTTGGTAATGTTTGTATTTTTTTCTTCTATTTTTAAAAATTTTAAAAATTATAACGAAAATTCGTTTGATATTTATTTTTCTTATAAAAAAATTATTGATAATTTTTTTTTTTTTGGGTAAAGAAAAATTTTCATTAAAAATATGAAATTAAAAATATATGCAAAAAAGGCGCATTTAGAGAAATTCAGAAAGTACAAACTCTTTTATTACTGCTAGTTACATTTTTACAATTAACCTTTCGGCCTCATAATTTTTTTTACTTCACAATTTATTTATTTATTTTTTATTATTTTTTTTTTAAAGAAAACAGAAAAAACAAACAAATAATAATAATGAAGTAGACCTTCGCTACAATCCAAAATACATAATCCCAAAACAGTCTGCCCATTGCAACCCAAAGCTATCTCCCATGCAAATAGAAAATTACTTCGACGCTGTTTTCCACAAGCAGTTGTCTTACATGCTTTCGATTTCACGCTTCTCCACGCAACACACCCTGCTCCACTACACTGGTTCCTCTGTTGGAACAATCTCAAAGCTTCTTCAATCCTATCATGGCTTTGCTAGGTGGAATTTTTTTTAAGTTAAAAATTGATAATTAAAAAGTATAAATTAAAAATATTTTTATTTTAACTTTTAAATAATTAATTTTTTTAACTTATTTAAATTATTTCTGTCTAATAAGATATAAATAAAATTGTACTAAACAATTTGACATAGATTTTAAAATCAAAATAAGTTATAATCACTTCTAAAAACCGTAACAAATAGTCCTCGTCTCCCAAACAACACCTAAGTTGAGACCACTTCTCAAACACTCACTTGTCGAACAACCAGGAGACATCCGACCAACACCCATCTGCCATTCACCATTCACCAACACAACCAAGCAACACCCACAAGAACTCCAACCAACACCTAAACTGAGTTCACCTCTTAAACACCCATCTGCTGAACACCCAATAGGCACCCAACCAACACCTAAAAACCCAACCGGCTAGACACCCATTTGCCGTACAACCCAACCAAAGTCCCACAGTCGTAGACGTAGTTGCACACTACTACATCCCATCAAAACATCGCAGAGAAGCGCCCATACTGGACCACCAGATATTGTCGAATGAAAACGCAACGTGACTTGATACCGCCGGAAACATCCAACTGCAAGCTACAGATCGAAACACACCTAAGCTGTTGGGTATACCTGGCGTAGGAGACCCAAATGGTTTATTAGAAGAATTTTAATTTAGTTTAGTGTTGATTATAATATATATCATATATTATATTTGATTTTTGGAGATTCAATAGGTATTTAAAAATCTGTTGGGTGGCAACTAAGGTTTTGATACAAAGACCAAAAGTCAACAATATTTTTTGGTATTGTTTTGTTCTTTTCCTAGAGTGCGGCAGCTGCTAAAATTGATGATTGAGATACTTGTTATTCAATGATTAATAGGTGTGGTGCTGGAGCTTAGTGCTGTGTGTGTTTGTTCGGGGTGCTCCACTTTGGTGTTATTTCCGCAAAGTTTCGACGTTTGTTTATGATTTGATGCTAGTTTGGTTAAGATTTGTGATCTTCTTTAACTCTGTTTCGAAAACAATTTGTTTATTTATTTTGGTGAGGTCTTTCCTCTATTTATTTGTGATTATTTGAAATTTACCAAAGGGTGGTTTGTGCGACCATTCGTGTTTCCTTTGTAAACGTTTGAAAACTCTTGATTGATAGTGTAATCGGATTTCAGTCTCATGAACGTACTTCAAATTAAGAAAAGCACGTAAAAGTTCTTATGTCATTATTGATTTAATTTTTCCACATTAGTTTTTATTTTTATCGATTGATTTATTTGTGGGAAATCATCTACTTTCCCTAACAACTGGTATCAGAGTATACGGTTTATTTGAGTTTATTTATTGGTGTAAATCAATGGGGGGAATGTGGGTCGTATATCTAGTTTCAATGAAAGCAATTGGGTAAATGGGCGAGTAAACGGGCCAAAGTGATGTATGTTGGGGTGGACGACGATTGAGCCAATATCTTAAAGGCTAAATCCACCATAGTTCTTTGAAGATAATCATGCTCATTAGCTCAGAAGTAGTGGGTTCATGGGTTTAAGATGATTGGGGTTCAAGTGAGGCCATCATATACAATTTTGTGCTTTCTAGAATGAACACCTCATGCTTGGGTAAACGGGCCAGGGTGATGTATATGCTGGGGTTGTAGGTGGATGGCAGTGTATGGATTAGGTTGAGGTGGGGAGGTAATGGGTTAGTGGTGGTATGAGGTCTTTTTTGGTGGAGTTATAATCTCTTCGTCAATAAAATCCTGAATCTTATGACGGAGGCGGATGCAATGGTTTGCATCATGAACCAGTTGTTGATGATAAGCACAATGTTTAGCAGGGTCATGTTTTGGTAGGGGAGGATTTGGGAGAGGTCGGGGTTCTAGATAGGAATGGCAATGGGTCGGGCCGGGCCGGGGCCGTGGATTGCACTCCCCGTCCTCGATCCCCGAAGGGCAAAATATCCCCGTCCTCGCCCTCGATCCCCGGCGGGGAACCCATCGCCCCCCCCCGCCCCCAACGGGGATCAGGTTTCCCCGACCTCAAAAAATCCCTGACAATCATCAACCACAACAACTCAACTCTGAAAATTCAGATCTAAAAAATCCCCCTAAAAGCCTCAATCATCAACAATTTAACAATTTTTTTTTTAAATAACTCAACAATCATCAACAATTTAGTATATTTGTTCATATCACACACACAGATCTAAGAAAACCCTAACAAACAAAAAAAAAATTAGAGCTGAAAACAGAGTAAATGGAGGGGAGAAAAATGAACGAGAGAGAGAGGAAGAGTTGAGAATCTGAAACTCTAAACTAAACACACATATATTATATATATATATATATAATACGGGGTAACGACATGGGAGAAAGAGAGATCTGCTCGTCGTCGGAAGTGGCATCGATTCAGACCGTCATCTTCGTCATCGTAGTAGTCGGAGGTGGCGTCATTGTCGGTGGGTTTGGTGAAATCTGAGTGAGGGAGAGGGAGAGAGATAGTAAAAGAGAGGGACATGAGAGGCACATCAGTGAGTGTGAGAGGAGGGTTTGGTTTTGAGTGAGAGTGAGGGAGAGGAAGAGAGAGAATAAGAGAAAGGAAGATGAGAGACGCAACATTAAGTGTGAGAGGAGGGTTTGGTTTTTATATATATATATAGACGGGTAAAATGGTAACTTCACTTCAGGGATAACGGGGACGGGGACGGGGACGGGCCGGGTACGGGGCTGGGACACTTATCCTCGTCCCCGGCCTGAAACTAATCGAGGATTGATTTTTAAATACCATCCCCGTCCCGTTGGGGATATTTTTCTGGAAAAAACCACTCAAATCGGGGTCGGGGGGTCAGGTCCCCGTCGGGCCGAGTTTAAATTGCCATCCCTAGTTCTAAAAGCTCTAGGTTCCCTTTTTCTAGAAAAATTTTCAAGGCTTGAGAGAGAGCCATGTAAAGAGGATGAAAATTTCGAACTTGGGGCCGAGTTGAAGTGGTTGGTTTTAGCGTATTGTTAGCAAAAAGGTTTTTGATGGGATTGGTAACAATGTTTACTTTTGAGCATTTCACAGCTGTGTTACCACTAGTAGTAGCATTGGAACTATGAACAACATTCTTCTTTATAGACTCATGGCCTTCCACAATGATCCCTTGTCTGATGGCATCCTCGAATTTGAATCCCAATTTCATGAAGGTCCTTAAAGTTGAATATTGAGAGGACTATTTTTTTTGTAATAGCCTTTCGTGTAGATTTCTAACAATTATACGAACTTGCTCTTTCTCTGGAGGTCTATTTTCCATTATAGCCACTTTTACCCTCAATCGAGTAACAAATTCTAAAAAGCCCTCATTTAGTTCCTGATGTGTTGCTTCAAGATCATAAGTTGTGACCTCGATCTGCGTGTAATAGGAATATTGGGCAATGAAGGATTCGGCCAACTCCTGCCAACTCTGTTTCACAGAGTCCTCCAATTTAGCGTACCATATGGCAACTATTCCAGACATGACAACTTCTGAACTCAGGTCAAACCCATTGGTCACAGGATATTAGAGAAAAGACGCAGATGCACCATTGGATCTCCAGAGCCATCGAAACGGTCAATATGCGGCATCTTGAACCGCTTACCGCTCTGGCAAAGTAATGGCGAATTCAGTATATCC